AAAACGTTTTTCCAAATATCTCACATGAATATCGCACAGACCTGATTCTTGGTGAGGCCTTTTGCATATTTATCTTCTTTTATTTCCTAGATTCTGGACTTTCTGTATTAAATGGTTTGCAATTAAAGTTTTGATTGCGTGACACTGAAAACCAAGAATACTGGTCAGGTTCAATGTCTGAGCAGGGACCAGAAATTTGTGACGTCATTAGTGTAATGCGCTATTTAGTATACTTGCAAAACATTTACCTCGCCAATTTTAAGCCTATATATTTCAAAGAGAAATCTATTTTTTTTCAACCAAGAATTGTTAGCTCGACTTTCTCCCATTAATTTAATAATACACCGATTCAGCCTAAGACCGGAACTTGCATGAAAGCGAGGCCTAAGGGCTATCTTTCGCGCGAATAATCATAAACATGGCGTCCTCAAGTGAACAAAAGAATTCGGGTCACAAGTGTTGCGCGGCTGTTCTTTGCAATAATCGTTCAGATAACCGACCAGATTTAATTTTTCATAATTTCCCTCTGCACGAAAATCTTAAGAAAATCTGGGATCAAAAATGAAGCGTGGCGACAAAAAATTTGCCTCGAACAGCTCCGATCACTCTTCTGCTGTTCTGAACATTTTAGTGAGAAGGACTAGAGGAAAAGCCTTACCGGCAAAAGACGTGATCTTGTAAAGAATGCTGTTCCTTCCATTTTCCCATGGTCAGTTGGCAATGATGAAGCCTCTGAAAGGTCCGAAAGAGACAAAAGTCGGGAATGCCAAAGGATTAATCTTTCAGCGATCCCATCCAAGAGTATCGAAAATAAACATCACTCATACGATGCACCTGACATCTCTGCAAAGGAGACTCAAGAGGAAGATACAGGTGAAAAACCATTTGAAGAAGAGAGAGACTTGGTTGCCGAGAATTATGATCTTAAACAAAAGCTGCTCCTTTCAAAATTTGGTTTGGAGAGATTTGGATCGAATGAAGATGACATATTTTTTTACACGGGATTTCAAAGTCACCGAGTCGCCAGCTTTGTTGGCATTTTGGAACTTTATTAAACCTTGCTCTGAGTCTCTGATGTCGTGGAACACAGCACGCGAAAAAGTGAAAGAAAGCTTCTCAAACAATGTTAATCCATTTCCCTTTTTGCAAGGACAGGAGAAACAAAGAAATAGAAAGAGAGCAATAGAGCCTATCGATCAGCTGTGGTTGTTTCTAACAAGGGTGCCACTTGGCTTATTTGAGCGTGATATAGATTTAGTGTCTCTGTAAGTACCGTGTCTGATGTTTTTATATCTTGGGCAAACTACCTTTACATAATGTTGGGAAGTTTGCCTTTATAGCCTTCAAGAGACAAAATAAAACAAAACTTGCCAGATTCTTTTAATGGAAGGTATGGAAACGTACGTGGAATTCATGATTGCACAGAGCTGAAATGTGAGTTTCCCAAGAATTATCAGAAGCACTCAGAAATGTACTCAGACTATAAATCTCACGACACTTTTAAAGGGCTCATCTGCATTTCACCGAGTGGATGGATAACATTGTTAGTCAGTTGTATCCAGGAAGAATAAGTGATAAGGAAATTGTGGAGAAGAGTAACTTCTGTCAGTTAATTGAAATGGGGGACCAGTACCTTGCAGACAAGGGCTTTGAGATCCATGACCTAATGGCCCTCAGAGGAGCAAGTTTATATATTCCTCCAAAGAGATTTTCTGCCAATGACCAGTTCACACAAAGCCAGTGTTTTGAGACCATGAGTATAGCAAATGTGCGTATTCATGTTGAAAGAGCAATTAAGCGAATCAAGGCTTAGCATATTTTTAGTCAAGTTCTGCCTCTTTCCAGCTCTGGGTCCATAAATCAGATCTGGACTGTATGTGCTTTGTTAGTAAATTTTCAATACCCAATTATTTCAGTTTAAAGAAAGGAAGCTTTCAGTTTTTTGGAACGGATGGGTTCTTATATCAGGGAACTAACAAGTGTGTTTTTTTAGGAATTGAAAGTTAAACTAAAGATTCGGAAGCAGTTCAGGTCTTGTTACTTTGTATAAGTCTCTGGTTTGGGTTTTTTCAATAATTGGAGGACTTGATATGTGAAAAAGTGAATGCAAAAATAATATTATTCTATCAAACGCACATGGGTAGATTGGGTACTCAGATTTGAAACTGATGAAGACTGACTGTGATTGACGAAAATATATTTGTTATAATAATGATGATGGTGATATAATAAAGAAAACAAAACCAAAATTTGTCTTTTTTTCAAAACTAAAAGTCTATCTGTAAGACAAATCCTAAAAAATAACAGTCAAAATTTTCAAAAACAATACACAAAAATATCTAGTTTCACCTTCCCTACCACCACCATCCCATCACTTGTAAAGTATAACTTGAATACCATTCCTTGTGCTTTAGAACATACTAAAGCTCTTATGCAGACATTTTTTAGAGTCAACTTATATTTTCCAGGAAACTTATAGTGTTGCTTTGCAGTTCTAAAAACACAACTGTTTTTATTTTGAGATATATTTTTCGTGAAAAGCAATTAAACTAGGCTTAATTTCGTCCTCCCACCTTGACGATGATGTGACCTTGAGAATCAAAACTGGAAATGTGTTGTTGGTAAATAAGACAAAGTCAGTTAATGGAATTCCACTGATCCCCATTTGCATCTGGGACTGAAACCAATATTTGTCCTTTTCTTTTACTACAAAGACAGAGTTCAGTCCCATAAATGGGAAACTGCTTTCCTTTTGATGATTATTTATTGCAGTCTCTGGTCACATATCCTGCTTGGACTCTAAACATTTTACTTCCACATTTCTGTATTCAATGTCACCATTGGCATACACTATTGTTGCAATTCTGTCAGGGCTTGCTGCAAGAACATCATTTTCTTTGTCTAAAATTGATCCAGTCTCTTGAACTGTCACTTCCTTGATGTCTGGCAATGACAAGAGATATTCTTTGTACAAATCAGCTGCCACAGGTTCATTTTCAATACCAAAGATCAATCCTTTGTGAGTAGCTGACCATTTTTTGGGGTGCTCCTTTTGCTGTAATTTTTTTTACTAGATTTTCTGGTAATTTTGACCCCTATTTTTGCATATGAGAAAAGACATCTTTACAGATACTGGCAGTTATTCTGTTCTGCTTTGTTCAAACCAAGCAGGATTCATTGATTGTCCTCTTGTTGCCATTTCAATTTGCATTTGCTTTTCTGTAAGAGTTTCAATAAATAACGTTTCTGTTTGGACTGTTGGCAGTTGTACTTCAGATGGATCAATTGTACTTTCAATAAAACTTGAAATATTCTGTTCTTGCTGTTGGTTATTAACATTACAATCTGATATCTACTGAACCTGTAGCTCATCATAAGCATTAGAAAAAGTGCTGAGAGGTGCCATTTCTGATTCACACTGCGCAGTGGAAGGTGGAGCAGAGATTTCATGATTCAAACTGGAATTTGAATTCAGTGCTTGCCAATTTGAGACAGGATTCACATTTTCTTTACCAGCAAGGGAGGAACTACTAAAAAAGGGTACTACCAAATTTGGAGGCTGTTGGGAATAATCTTGAAGTTGCTTATGAATTGTTGAACCTTTAGCAACAGTGCCAACTATAGTCTTTACTGTTTGAATTGTCTTTTCCTCTGGTAACATAGCAGCAAAGGGTATACGAGCATTTATTTTCTAAAGATCTTGCCTCAGCTTTGCAATTCCATCAGCATCAAGCTTATGTGACTATGTAACTTCAGTGGTCTGGGATCGTAAAACTGAGAATCAATACTCCTTTTCTTCCTACCAGGTAAGTCAGACGCATGTCTTGGTTTTGTTATTTTTAAAGCCATCACTGGAGAGAACTCTACTTCTCGTCTACCCCCTTTTCCCCATTCCCTCGGTTTTGATGTGCAGCATCTGTTGTCAGGAGTGATATTTTTTAGCTCTGACTTTCTCGTCATGTCCTCAAGTTTCCATATGAGCGCCATAACATGACAATAACACCCACTGTTGGAAGCCGGACACTGCCTATCACACTTTGCTGCTAGAATCTTTGGGGTCCCGCTTTGTTTACAAACCACTTTCACCTTGTATTTAACATTCCTCATATAGGAAGCCCAACAGCAAGCACGGACGTATATGATGTTATTTTCCGTGATATTATACACCCGTAAATCGCCCACAAAATTGACCATACGGAGGCCTTTGTCATTTGAGTTTATAACAACTGCTGCATTGGTAAATTTCTTCATGGATTTACCGGAATTTTGTACCTGCTCAAAAGCATCCATAGGCACAAATGGGGACAAAACAGGAAAAACCCCTGAAAATTGAGTGTTTTCATCCGGTGGGAAAGTGTCTAAAATCGAACTACACGAGCTTGCTTGTTGGTCGATCAGCTCAGTCTGGACTGTTTCGATATTGAGGGTCTTTAGCTTTTCAACCTTTGCTTTCGTGTAGCTCCTCTCAGGATCAGGGTTGTAAACTTTCTCTCTGTAGTAAGGAATCGTGTTGAATGCCTTTACCCTGCCCCCGAAAAGAAAAGATTTTAGCGAAAACGAAATTCTTTTGACTAGCGTGGAAGGTTAGATAAGGTTTATGTAATACAGGTGCTGCGAAACTTACTTTTCGACAAAATATTTCTTCAGTCCCTGTTGGTTCAGTCTTCTGCATTTCAACCAAAATTTCAATTGTGGAATTGTCCATTTACTTATGTCTTCTCCATTTTTCACGGATGAACATGGAATGTCTTCTGGTGTAAGGTTTACATCAGAAGACATTTCATGTCTTCCATGCAAACTGTCGGTGTCTTCAGCCATGATTTTTGAGATTCGCGCGAAAGATAGCCCTTAGGCCTCCCTTTCATGCAACTTCCGGTCTTAGGCTGAATCGGTGTATTATACATGTATACTATATAGCTATTTGCTGTATTGAGGGAGATGGATCGAGCGTGACAGTGACATGGTGGTAATCAGTGTGCGAACTCCACTAAGGGACGGACCATTAGAAAAATTATTGGGGCGGAATTTTCGAGCAGCAGGAATTTTTTTCGTTACGAAATTCCTTGTGTGAATTTTTTTTAGGCTATAGCATGAACATTTTTTAGGGCTAATTGCCGTGCATGATTTTTTTCATTCAATTTTCCCTTGTGCAAATATCTTTTTTGTACTTCGCCCTCCACCCCTCTTCCCCCTCCCCCCCTTCCCCCTCCCCCCGCCCACACACACACACGATAAGTTTCCTAATGATCCACCCCTAATTTAGCATGCGATTTTGCAATTATTACTTCTGCAACTCAAGCTCAAAAGTCACGTTACCAGCCGCATTGAAAGAAGTTGAGGAATATTACCAGGTGTCGTGAATACTTTATTTAGAAACCTAACTTAGTTATTGCAACAGTTAACAGAGTTCTTAAGTACGCAGTAAAGGGTGTTATGCTTCACTGTCTTCCTTCAGCTTGCCTTAGTGTTAATTGCATGGGAGAAAACAAGAGAGGTTTATACTCACCTAATAGTTTATCTTTTCTTTGGTTATGAAAACTACAGACAACAAGAAGCATTTAGACATTTAATAATATTAATTTCAGGGCTTTAAAATAATGAATCAGGATTGATTCAATTCAAATGTTAATATGTGCATATGACGATTTAATGGCGATAAAGTCATGTACCGTGGAATTTCACGATTTTAGTCAAAAGACAGTAGATCGAGTTTATTTGTATTCCATTACCTTGAAAAGCTTCAACCAAGTGACCGCTCCTTTGATTTCCTACCCTTCTATCGTTTGAAATACCAATAATCTTGGCTGGGATGTAGGTCTATTAGTATGTGTGTGTTCGTGTTATTAACAAGTGTATTGTTAGAAAGCGACGCACCAGGCAGATTAGTCTAAAATGTCAGCCGTCTCGGAGTTAGGGGGTCAGGGTCAATACCTACCAAGTTTGAGCATAAACTACGTCGCCATCAATGAAGATTTGGAAAAATTATCACCATAGCTGTATTTTAGATAAAGATGGACATTTGTTATGATCAGTGTTACAATGACAGCGGAGTTGCCATAGTAACAAAATGACACTATTATCTACTTTTACTTGCAGCCATATTTCTCGACCTTGTGAAGTGTTTTACCAAAATCGTTCACGGGAGCTTTTTCCTCCAATAGCTGCCTCGGTGTTCGTGAAGTTTAATAGAGATCTACAAGGGCACTGTCGAGATTTTTTGAGAAAAAATGTTTCTGGTTAGAAACAGAGTAAAAACTGGACAATCTTGATTTTTGCCGTTATCTATAGAAATAACGACGCGCTCTGGAATTGCAATTTCGCCCCATGGTAGTGGAGAAACTGATTTTTTACAAGGCAATAGACCATGGCCGAGTTGCCTGAAGCCTCCGTTTCAAGGCGACGCTAAGTGCAAAGCAATTAATATGAATTTCATTTTTGTTCTCATGCAAGTAAAACTCATTTTCCGCGACAAAGGTTTTTGTACTTATAGCCTCGTTTTGAATGTGAGAGTTTTTGGAACTCGGAAATGGCCTATGATAAAACTTTGCCGACCTATTTGATAGGTGGTTTGAATCTAGAGAATATATTGCATAGATTTTGTTGCACGTGTAAAGTGTCCATAGGCTAAAAAAAATATTTTGTTATTGAAAATTCACATTAACCACAGCGTGTGCGTGTGTGTGTTTTAAACTTATCTCAAGTTTGCCTTCATTTTGCCACCCCATTCATCTAAGTCTTCCTCTCGAGAGCCTCCTGGACCGTGAAAGGAGCAGAGACGTAGTAAGGATCCATGTTGTAAATCAAAGAACACGTGACCTTAGATAAAAGTAAACAAGTGTGGAGTGCTAGAAATATTTCTTCCAATTCACGAACTGAAACTGCTGTTAAAAAGTTACAATTAGTTTACGAGTTTTCGATTGATTTGTTTTGAAATAGGCAGAGTACAAGATGGAACTGAGCGATGCAGAAGTGAGCATTGTAACCGTACTGTACGCCTTTACGATGCTTGCAGCTATTGTGGGCAACTCTTTTCTGATATATATCGTGTGGAAAAAACCTGAGGTACGGTCGCTGACAAGTTCTATGTTCGTCAACATGGCCATAGCCGATCTATTGGTGGCCCTGTTCATGATGCCTCTTTCCATTGTCAGCGCTCATACGGAAAATAAGTGGAAGGTATCTGGGTTGCCTGGTGACATCATCTGCAGGGGCTATATTCTAATTTCCGATGCCACCCTCGTTGCGTCTATCCTCTGCCTGGTTTTTATGGCGATCGACAGGTACTGCGCCATTGTCTGTCCTCTGTCGGTCCACTCTATGTGGTTCAGAAAGGCGAAATTTGTCACACCTTTGATCTGGGTTATGTCAATCGCTCTAATGGCTATCATGCCTGTCATCTACAAATTAGATTATGAATACTGCGAAATTGACCCAGATGTTTTGGGCTACAACGCGACATCTCTTGGTGTTAACCTCTACATTTTCTTTATCACCTACATAATTCCTCTGGCCATCATATGTCCGCTGTACGCGAAAGCTGCTTTTATGCTATGGTTTAACCAGGCTCCAGGCAATCATCTGATTGAAGAACAACAGCGTCGACAGCTGGTTACAAGAAGGAAAGTGGTCCGCATGCTCGTCATCATTGTTGTGGTGTTTGCTATTTGCTGGCTTCCCGCGCAGGCAATACACCTTTTTTGGGTAGCAACAGCTTTTCGTAAAAACCCGCCAGAAATTGTCATGTACCTGGGATTTTGGGTGGCCCACGCAAACAGCGCCATCAACCCTTGGCTGTATATTGCCTTAAGCACCAAGATTAGATTGGCCTTTAACCGGATGGTAACCGTCCGAAAATCTCATCTGGCCTTGAGGAAAAGTACCCAGCGAACGAGTCACTCAACTGAAGCCTCGACATTCCAGGAGGCTAGGGTGTAGTCATACGAACCAGGAAACCAAGAACAGAGAGTAGAAGGCATATGATTTTCAGCTAGCAAGCTTAGACATTTAACCTTTGCCTTTTTAATGCACGCAAAAACTGCAGATTACTTAATGCAGTGGTAAGTAGTGGATGAAATAGAGATAAAGTCATCGACTAAAAATTTAAAATAGAGATTCCCTTGATGATTTTTGCAGGTAAATGTGGTATTAGTAGAAGTTTTTTTAACGTATTTATTGGTTCAATATGTAAAGTACGGAATGTTTTCTTAAAAGTAAAAGAGCCTTGTAAAATGCCTTTTTAAACTGTAATGAGACCTTGACACGTATTGGAGTAAACGCATTTTAGATCTATATTGGCCCAGTGCAACTACGCATTTTAAAATAACCTACACTGCACGAAAAAACGGATTTAAACAGGTTTGCAACAGAAGTAAATATGGTGCAAATTTAGCCCTCTAAATTTGACCAAAATTATCACCAGAAGTAATTATGATGCAAACACAGATGTTTATTCTGTTGAAATTGCGTGCAAATACGACGTAAACCTGAAATCTACTTTACATTTGCTTCGTATTTGATACCTCCGCAAATCAACAAATCCGGTGTACATTTACTCCAGATTTGCTCTCTGTGGAAAAATAATGTTTGCTTTCTGAAAAAATCT